CAGAAACCTACGGTTCTTGCCCATTTGCTCAGATATCAAAGCATTCTTCTTCCTTACTTTTTCACAGAATTCAGATTGCAAAATTTTAGAATTTCAGAAACAATTAGTGTAGTAAATGTCTAAATGACAAGAAACAATGGAGTGAAATTTTTTGAAGTATTCAAAATCTTGACTGTGTAGGAAACCCTCTACAAATGATACAGCCAAAATGCTTAATGCATTTCCTGCAACGAGATCGATTCTGCTAAAGTTTTTTTTATTTTTTATTTTTTATTGAGATTCTGTTATGGACAATGGGGTCTAAGATTATTTTTTGTTGGTATTTGTTATACCTTTAGGTGAACAATGGCAACAGTTTTCTGGTGCTTCCGTCTACCGCTGCAGCTGTCCATCCTGGAGAGTCGATTGGTGGATATCTCCCCAATCAGCCTGATATCATCGGTGGGAGAGAGTAGACAGAGATTCTCTGGTCGGCGAATCTTCGAATAGGAAAGCACCCCGTTTCTAAGCAAGAACCACCTGGATCTCCATCCTTTTCCGTAATTAGTCCACTTATACAGAATTCCGGCAACAGTAGCCTCGGATCTCACCGGAGGACCCCCGACATTGCCACTGTCAGATCCACAGAGAATCCCCGTTGGCATGCTCCCGGTCCTCGTCAGAGAAGTCGCCGGCGGCGACTGCTCCCGGATACCCTGACTCTCCAGCGAAATACAGCACAGCGGATACATTTCCTTTATACGCATTATCTTCCCTTTATTACCGATCACGACCAAAACGCAACTCTCATTAAAAAACCTACCATTAAGTTTCCCAAAACAACAGCAGCAAACAACTAAAACAGGGGAAAAGCCAAAAAGAAAAAGAAAATCAGAACACAGACACACCCATGTTGTCCTCCCCTACGATGAACATGACCCCTCTAAAAATACCCAGAAAGAAAAACGAAAAAAATTCAGAAAACCAGAATGTGGTAGGAAGGACAGTAGGAAGGAAGAAGGGGTTCCAAGGGGGAAGGAGAAAGCACCTGAGGTGACTGAACTCGAGCTCTGAAACTGAGGGAGGAGAAAGGATTGCGAAAAGGAGAAGTGTCGCCGCAAATTTCTACGAGATTGAAGCCTTGAATTGATGGCAAAGTAAAAGATATTAAAAAAAGAAAAAACGAATAACAATATTTGGATTTTGGAGTAAAGAAAACGTTACATAGCGCAGTGTGGAGGAGAGAAGAAGTCGAGGGGTGGGGGGAATTAGGTTAGTGGCAGAATAGTAATAATCAAGGTTAAGATGGACTTTATTTTTTGAAAGCT